TCTAAAACAGTAAGCAATAGCCAGCCTCTGTGTGCCTAATCGACCAAATAAAATTCATGGAAGGACGTTATGGCGAGCATTGGTAGTGCATGCGGCAGTGGTTGGACCGTATTTCCCGATGAAGAGTAAACAAATCGGCGTCGAGTCCCGTAGGCCTAATGCGCAAGTGGACGACCCTCCACGTGGCTGCTCCTTCGGTTACCCGGTGAAATCGGGCGATGCTCGTGCACACGCTCAGACTTTGACCACTCGGCCAGCGCGTTGCGTCCGAGCAGCAGCTCATGCGAGATGAAGGCACCCTCGAGAGGCGAGATGAAGCCCCCCTCGAGCGCGTCGTCGGCTACTCTCTTCGTTGGTCATTTAAGCCGGTGATAAGCGCCGTTTCGGCTTGTTGTAGCGTACGCTTGTGCTTACGTCGGTCGGAGAGGAGTAGTCGATGCGAGACGATGTTGACTATTCGTAGATGCGAATAATAGGAAGGGCCCGCGTGGGAGTCGGGAGGTTAGCTCGCAAGATGCAGCGGTGCTTAAAGGAAAGGTATATTAGCGTTTAAGAGAGCGCATTTGCGCATGCGCAAGCGACTCGGACGCTGGCTTCAGCGGAAGGTGAATTATAAATCGAGCGACATCGCCTCGTCCTATTAATTTAATATCTTACGCGAAAAGCTGAAATTAATGAACGGTATTCAAAGAGATTGCAATTTACAGCATCTTCTGCCGAATCAATTTTAAATGTTGAAAAAATCGCAATACAATTTGTCGATGCTCGAGGGGCGAACGAAAAGCTATATTTAAGAATTGGCTAGCGATATGAATCTGTAATTTGCTGAAATCGCTCCTACATTTCATCCCCGAGCTTTGATTCAACTAGCTTCACTTATCATTGTAAATAGCCCTTCAACATCCTCTTTATTATTTATTAGCGGGAATAAATTAGCGCTGAATGGTATCGGAAGAAAAATTGTCTCTCGCCCGCGGCGCGGCTCGTAATCGAACGGCTGCGACGCAAGGACATGGTATCCACGTGCTAGTGATTAATCCTAGTAAATAGAATGTATCGACAGAGACAAAGAGGGCGATTGAAGAGACGAGGGAAGAGAGGTAGGGACGAGTCTAATGCGGAGGCAGGAGATGCCGATAAAGGGAGCACTGCGCCTGTAGGACAATGCACAGGTTATAAAAAAAGTATAAAAATGATTGCAGCTAATGGCGTAACATTGTCTCTCCGCTTCATCTCTATGGTATTTACACTTAATTTATAAGGTATTAATTGAATTATTTACGATAAGACAATGGCTCTTTTTACCAAGTAGCCTCAGACGGTTGCAATTGATAAAGCAGAACTAAAATTGAATTAAATTTTGTATACAACTGAAAATACAACTGAAAATTTTTCTCTCTCTCTCTCTCTCTGTCTCTCTCTGTCTCTCTGCCTCTCTCAACTCTGTCTGTATATCTACATATCTATCTGTCTGTGTAGGTGTGTGCGTGTGTATTCATGCGCGCGCGCTAAGTAGCAGAGGCGAAAGGTAGGAAAAAGTAATTGGATATTTAATTAAAATGGCAAGGCCCGAGTAAAAAGCACGATGCAAGAGTGAGGACAGAGAGACGAGAAGTTAATGAAGAAGACTAAGAATTGCGAGCATTGCGGGCGGGGGGAGAAGAGCCGAGTGGAGTAGAGACGAATGGCTGGAAGGTGGGGAAGAGCACTGAATGGCCGTATTAGAGAGTCGCTATTGAAGAAGCGCGAGAGACGAGGAAGCAATCACGTAGCCGATGGAGCTTTCGTGGGACTAGGGCGTGCGCGATTTTTTCTCTACCGTGGGAATAGCAGGGGCTGTGGGGCGGAGAAGAGTAGAGAGCCGCAACTGAGTCCTTGTGTGTCCTTTCGTCGGCGAAGTAGAGTCGGAACCCCGGAATCCTCGAAGCTTCGGAGTCATGCCATAATCGCAGATATTGCCTGCGCGTTATTGCGCGACTTTCATGCGCAATATGGAGTTTTGCGCCAGAATCTACCGCGTAACGACCAATAACGCATGTCTCGTTGTGCGTGCGCGTGCGCGCTTGTTATAAAAGCCGTTTGTTATAAAAATTGGTTACTGTATGAGAATATCATGGCTATTTTCGTCACGAATTTCGCATAATAACTACCCGCAGTCGATGCTTCGTAACCTTATTGTTTATGAAAAATCAATTTTCAACCATCTTGCGATATTTTACTATATAAAATAGTAAGAGTTTGGTGGTTAATGCAAGACTGTAAATTTCTTCGCGAAGCTGATGGTCGTGCGTATGTGGTTTATATGCGACTAATCTTGCAATTGCATACAATTTGGTATTATCATAAGAATATGTTAGATCTGTCGGCTGTTTGAAAAGGCATCGAGCCATTTATATTATTAGTATTATATATGTGCGAGTGAATAGATTTCTACTGTAAAATACATGAATATATTGAGCGATGGGAGAATTTATTGTATGCATTGATAATCATCGTCGTAGAGTCATTGTTAAGTTTAACAATTCGAGGATGCGTGGTCCTTACTGTTGTATAGAAGGAAACAAATGTTTATTTCCTCAGTTATTCTACAAGTTTTACAACCAAAATCCATTTATTCTTAATCAACTCTACGTAATAAACTGAACTTATGGGATTTTTTTTACAATTTATACATTGAGAGGTTGTGTTTGTACTTTAGGACCTTAATACGATAATTTTACATTATCAATAACGACAGCCGCAAATCGGCAACTTAGAAATTACCAAGAATCTCAATAATGCATGACTAAAGTAAATTCTACGGAAAAGCTTGGAATGATTATTAATCAGGAAACAAAATAGAAATCATTGGTTTGTAAACGCTTTGGAATAAATATTCTACTTTCGTCGCGATCCAATTAAAATTCGGGTCGTCTAAATAAGTCGAGAAGATAAAAACATACCAATTACATTGCTCTTCTAATAATTTTTATTACCGAATCAGTGTCACTCTTCTAGATAAAATAGTCGACAACTTTTAACGGGCGAAACAAAGATGCAACAATGCCAGTGTAGTAAATAAAGGATATTTCTCATTATGTATTTTAATACGACAGAGAGGTGAAGTGTCTCGTAAACTTTACAGCTGCACAAATAATATAATAAAATTACAATTCATATTGTGCTCTGAACAGTCGAATGAACTATTCGCCCGCTAGATATTTATTGCCGTAATATTGTTTACAGTAACGCGCGCTAAACAATCTTTACGAGCTTGCCAAGATACGAAAGCGAAAGCCGATTACAAAAACTGCACGGACAACAATATCCTTATGCTGTTTCTCTCTTAATCCAGTCGAGAGCCTGATCCCTAAAGCACGGGGAACAAGATACGAGCGAGATAAGAAACAATCGCAATGATGACGTACCACTAAAAGCCTCGTTACAGCCAACTTTCCTAACAGCTTAAGCCAATTATCACAGCTAATGGGCTGTGGGTGAATCGAGCGCCGCGCAAAACTCATTCCCGCGCAATGCGTACGCCTCTGATACCAACTAACGACTATAATTCATTCGCGGCATATGCGCGCCTACGTGCGCGTTAACACGTACGCGCGCGAGTAATCCAGCGTTTCACGCTGTTTGTTGCCAACCACGTGATTAATGCCCGCACATCCCGAGTGTTTTGTCTACGCAGCTCAATTGAATCGGCCATCTATTCATATTTCGGTCCTCGGGCCGTGGCTCAGCTTCTCTCCTTCATCTGTCGATCGCTAGGCTGTAGGAGGCCGGGCTCCTACAAAAATATGCGGCGGCGACGGACCGCTAGGCGAAGGTGCGCCCGCTGTTTGATTTGATTGGCGAGATTGATGGTGCTGATTGATTGTTGGCCTCTACACTCGACGCTCGTGCGCTCTCTTGGTCCGTTAAGTTGGCGCGACGCGGTGTGGCGGAGGGAACCGGGGACCAGGAGACGGGTGCAATCGAGGATGACTCGCGCATTTATGACAATTCGAGGCTTGTATGTGCGATGTGCAAACGCGCGCTCTATTTTCCAATTTCGCGCTGAGGATTTTGGGCGATGACTGATTTTTTTGGTATTTTTTATTTTTCACTGAACTTATTTAGGCCCGCGGTAACGCGTTTGAATTAGAAATAATATTTTCCATAATGATTTATCATATTTTATTTACAATTTATCATTAGTGTCCCACGTAATTCAGCGGAACGGTTAATAATGTTGCCAAAACATCACTAGCCGCTACAATTGCACTCTCATCGGCCGCGCATAATGGACGTCATGATTCGCACGAATTGACGAATTAAAGAGAAAACAGCCTTTCCTGGCAAATGTGTTTTACGTCAGACGGCTACTGCTTAAATAAGGAATAATTTAAAAAAATGTAATGTAGATAAAATTTCTTGAAAGCCTATGAACTAAACGATTGGCATAAACGTGAGGAGCTTAAATTGCTACGGACGCACAAAGCAAGCCCGGCTCCTTGTGAAATTACGAGATTAAGATATTAAAAATAGAGGGCACTGTAATTTTTTGGGAGTAAGTGTATAATTATTATAGTGAAATGAGCTCGAAAATACAAGTGTTGCTCTAGGTAATAAATATTAACTTCCCGTTATTCTTATGTCTCGTGTGAAAATACATATCCATGCAACATAGAATAACCTTTACTTAATTAATCTCTAAAGTCAACATTTGATATTTTCTTTAAACTCGCGTGATCGGGTCGCGAAACGTTTTTGATATTAATATCATCTGGGTCAAGGCTCCATTACGTAATTTCCAAAAGCACCCATAGACCATTCGCCGAATTCGATAAGCCACCAATTGCCGCGTAGACATTTTGGTCTACAAAAACAGCCCCTAAACTCCGCCGTAGCCATGCAATTGAATTCCCTGTCTCCGCTCTCTCCAGCATCTCATCTGTGGACCTCGACAGATCCGAAATAGCTGCATCGCGCGTTAAAAGCGGTAGAGAGAAAATTGAATAGGCGACACTCACCGGCTCCTCGGCGACGCTTATCTCGGGCACGCCGGTGTTGTTGTCCAAAAGTGGGGCGCTACTGCTCTTCCCGGTCAACTCGATTATGCTCATGGGCTCGGTCGCTTTGAGCTGCAAGCTCGCCGTCGACGGGGAGGAAAGCCCGCGAGGCAGAGTGCTCACCAGCTCGCCCGAGCTCATCGAACTGCTCCCGGTATTCGACAATCCTGTTGGTAATGGATTTAAGGTCAACATGAATCGGCTGTCTTCTTATCGAACGCGCAACGTATCGAAAGCTCGACCTTGACAATGTAATAGGTTGGCAATTGTTGCAGGCCGAGCTTCGTACAGCGATATTACAACGCACACAATCGCTACATAATATGCGTATTCCCGTTGAAAAATAACAGTCGCTTACCGTCTCACTTTGTTTAACTCCGTCGCGCGCCATATTTTATTTAAGCCGTAACTGCTCGGTGCGCCAAGAGTCATATTGTTACATTTTCGTCGTGACTAGCGCAACGGCATTCGCAAACTATCGAACTAAATGCGGTGGCATTTGCATTTTGTGCAAAAAGTGATTTAATAATGCGTATTATATAAAGAGATATATTTGTGAATTTTTGCTTCCCTGCAGTGTCGAAAATAAAAACTTTGTGCTCGCAATTTTAATATGAATTGTTCGTGACATTATTAACGATTGTGAAATGCAGTGACGAATTGTGCGCCTTTATGAGATAATTTTGACATAATTATTAAATAGAAACCAAGTATATAAATAAACATTGCGATAAAAATATAATTAACGAGCTTATTGAAGTATAAAATGTGTTATTGCTTCGGTATGAATGGAATGATCAAAGGATGCGCCCGAGAAATTTATTGAGAAAAGTATAATTTAAGTGGCTCGTAAATTTCAACTCTTTTTTCCTATGTTTTTTTTTCGATGCTAAAAAATGTATGCAAATAAAGTGCTCGAGAGTGCAGGCAGCACACGATACGACATTATTAAACCTGCAGTTCCTCTACCGTCGTTCATTCAAAATTGCATAATCCCCGGAGATGCGGCAAGTAAGAGAAATTGCCACGAATACTTGGATGTGAGCGTCGCGACTATATGCTTTCTTGCATAAAACGCTCTCTATTTAAATAACGAATTATTAAAGTCTCGAAGTTTAAATAGTTCGTGAGTAAGGGACAGAGATCTTTGATATGCTCACCAAGGGGCAGATTGCTTGGTCTGATGGGCTTGGCTCTTGGCAAAGAGTCGTCGAGGCCGCTGCTGCTGTCGACCGCCGCATCCTGGGCATCATGGGCCTCCCCCGCCTCGAGCCGCGTTTGCGTGTGAACACTTTCACGCTTTATCCATACGCTGTCGCGATCCTCGCGTAGCTGCTCCCGGCCGGAGCCCGTCTTCGGAGGTCGTCGGCGAATCCTCTCCCAGGTTTCCTTACGGTGGTAGGTTGTCGGGGTCGAGGGGTCGGCTGTCGTGTTGCTCGTCGAGGCTGTTGCGAAAAGCACATGGCTCGTGAAAGTTTATGGGAATGCTACCGATTAAACAGGTAAAGGCTGAGTGTGCGAGCTTTAAAGCGATATCATATGCCTGAATGAAGGTAATCGCTCGTTGGATTGATCGGCCGCTCGGAAATTATGCAAAAAGTTGTTAAAACCGAGGGCTTACTTTGAACACGATTTAACTAATATTGACTAATAATTTTGAGTTACTTTGGCACAAATTCAAGCATTAATGTAAATTATAGATCTTTATTTCAATTATACGATCGAAGAACAAATTAGCCATCACTTTCCTCGGTGGAGCTTTGTTATTACTGTTTTACTTTATTATAGTCAAATAGCTTTTAAATATATATATTTAATACACAGGGTGATTCCAGTATTATAATTTTCTCATCAAGAATTTGTACATCATTAGATGATTATTTAACATGATCGATCTCTCTTATAACGAATTACCGTATTCGATTTTAGTGCATAAAAGCGCACATTACAATCTCATTGCACTAATAATAAAATTACAATTAGGCTTGAATGATAAAATAATGCATTCTAAATATGGCGTATTGCGAAATTAGAGCTGCAATTGAATTAATGAAATTTAATTATTGAAATTTTATAAAAAGTAAAATGTAGTCAACGAACGCCTAATACATACTTAACATTTCGTATACTTATCGAATGAAATATAATCCATTCATTTTTAATGTGCTAAGAAAATACACTCATTTGTACGTCGTTGATGTATGTATTAAATAGTTATGTATTACGGCAGATTAATTGCTATTATTTATTAAATTCACTTCAAAGTATTTTGACGCTATTTGAATGACCAAAGCCATAAATTCAACCTAAATACTTACTCTCTACATAATTCACAATTCAATTAAACAATTAAATTTGCATTCATTGCGATAAAATTTTTAATAATTAACTAATAAATAAATAATCATTTAATAGCTCGATATTACTATTGTTAATACATAATAAAACTAATGCGTTAAATCAATTTTCTCGGTTTTTACTCTACCACCGGTTCTATGTAATAAAGCTTATATTGGATTAAAACTTCAATGATATTTGGAGATTTAAAAGAAATTTTCGCGAGCATCGATGCGTCGAAAGAAATCGTAATTTCAAAAAATATTTTTCATCAACTTGCTAATCTTAGTAATTAATTACTCACGACATAAATTTTCATAAATTTTCATAAATTTTTCTTAGCATTACGTATCGGCATAAGAAATACGAACGATTATTTTTACTGATTTTAAAGTTTTATGAAAAGAACAAGAGTGTATAATAACCGATGAGAATTAACTATATACGATAAGAATAAAAGTATCGAGAGAGTAGATCAACAAAGTACACGAATTACAATATCCAAGCTGACGTTCAAAATTTATAATAAATTTCATTCGACGTTGGCGGCACTCTATCAAACAACAATATCAAACTCACGTTTCGCAAGACGGCGATCCGTACTTCGAGGTGGACTGGCGGTTCCAATTCCACTCTCAAGTGGTGAGGCTCGATCGGTCGTATCAGGTGAAAGACTACCGGAAGAAATTTCGTCCATGCTTTGTAATAAATCCTGGGATGACGAAGATGACCTGTTGTCGTCGTCAACGGTGTTTTGCGGTGAAGCTGTATTGGGAATTGTCTCGTCTTGCAAAGATCTTGCATCTGTTGGTAATTTGCAATTAGTATGACGTTAAAACGAGTCAATAAATAATAATAAATAAGTAAAGATTGTTAGAGTGAAATTTACGATTACACACACACACACACACACACACACACACACACACACACACACATATATATATATATATATGCATGCAAATTGTCATAGACAGACATTTCAGAAAATTCTATTTTATTGTCAATTTACCGTGATGAGGGAAATCACAATCGCTGACCCACGTGAAGCTCGAACTTCGAGAAATAGCTGGAGATGTTTGGGTTGCCATATCCGAGTAGGTCAGGCTTTCAAAAGGTGGACTATTAGGGCAGCATGAGCCACCACTTTTTGTCAATCGAGAGAGTAAAGATTGTAGTGATACGGGTAACTGAAATACAATTATAGAATAAAAATTCAATAAGACTGAGCCGTTGTAATTATTGTAATTATTACTACAGGGCGAGAATTTCCCTTTATAACGCTAGGATCATAAAAGAAATTTTAGAGTTTCAGGCAGTAATGTTGGGTATATTATTAATGTAGTGGATAGTTATCGATATTATACAATTGAAAAGCATTAAATTTGCTATTTGTTCAGCAATTACCTTAAAATAGTAGCGAAAACTTATCAATTAATTTTATCTATTATAATCAAAATACTTTGACAAGGGATAATAAATTAATAATATGCCGTGTAAATTTTTCAATTTTACTTACGATCAAAAATATATAATTGATTTAAAAGCAAAATAATAATAATAATAATAATAATAATAATAATAATAATAATAATAATAATATAAGATATACAATAATAAGACTTGTGTAACTTTATTTGGATTATAATGCGTTTTTCTTCTACGATTGTCTTATTATTCTATTATTTTTATTTTTGCGTCATTTAGAGCCTTAAAAGCATAATAAATAATTGATTATAAATTAGTTCTATGAGAGTACTTGTTGACAAGTGAATAAGAAATACAAATTACTTACGGAAGTTGATCTTGAATTTTGCTCATCGGCAAGAGCTCTAACGTCTCCATTTTCCGGTCTTCTCTCCCCATCGGCATCGATCGCAGCAATATTTCCATCGACCTCGGTTTTATTCATCTCGGGAAAGTCGCAGCCAACCGCAACGTCGTTACCATTGGATTTTCCGACGTGAAACTTGCGCAATTCTACCGGACTTATACGCGTGACGTCTTTGTCCGACTCGGACAGCCTCTTAGCCGTAATATTGGATCGCAAGGTCAACGGTGAAATCGCTCGAATTTTCCTCGACGACTCGGCCTCCCGATTCCCGGATATCGACATAATCTGAGCTTTAAGGACATGATCTTTCCGATCATTCGACAGATTAACTAAATCTTGGTCTGGCAGGGACGAAACCCTCACCAAAATTGCCTCCGCTGAAGAATCCTTATAAACTGGGGTGTGCTTATGCTTTTTCAAGAACCTCGAGAACGGTGTTCTCTTGATCTCCGTCGGTGTGCTGGGCGCCGACTTTGGCATATTATTTTCCAATGACTTAGATCGACCGATAGCCTCGTATTCGCGAATCTCGCGAATCTCTTCGTAATCAGGCTCCCCTTGGCTCCCACCACTGGGCTTCAATTTCTGGATCCTCCCGTAATGGCTCGTCGTGATTCGGTTCCTTTGCGACGCCACCTGGCTACCGCTCGCTAAATTCGCTTTCCTCCTCGGATCGCTGAACGGCTGTGGTGGCAATTGCGCCCTAGGATCCTCGGCGCCTCCCTTCGATCTCGCAAAGGCCCTCAGCATTCGACTGGATCTCGGCATCGGGTCGGTCAATGGCTTCGCTCGAGGCGCGTTGCTCTTCCCAGCTTTCGTTACACTACTCTTTGGTAAAGCGAAGCGCGCGTTGAAGCCGCTTGGTAGACTAGAACTAGTTCGCTTGCTGCGCAGCAGTTCGTTGGACGAGGGTGAGTCGGGACAGCCGCTGGGCTCGTCATAATCCGAGGTCGTATTGTTGAAGGAGTCGTCGAAATCCTCTGGCAGAGCGTCGCTGAATCTCCGAGGTGAGCCGATCTGGTCGTTTGGTTCGTCATAATCCGAGTTCAGCATATACTGATGGCGACTCGTCATTCTCGCACTTGCGTCGTCCTCCTCGTCATGGTCGTCGACTGGCTTGCGATCTTTGGTGATACCCTCCTCATCCGCGGAGCTGCCACTATCCGAAATGCCCAACTCCTCTAAAAGTTCTCTGTAACGTTGCTTCGGCCCTTCGAGCACGTGCTCCTTCTTTACCTTGGTCAACTCGCTTATCTCGTTGGCTATGATACTATTGAACTCTGCAAGGATATTCTCCGACCAGTTATTCAGTGCCTCGTTCCTATTGTACAGCTCCAACTGCCTTCTACGCTTGACGCTATTATTTCCACTGGTGTCGCCGTTGACGAGACGTGCGGTGCCCGTCGGTTGGCTGGCGGCGGGATCGACGACGTTACGCGACGGCCGACGTGACACTCGACGCTCCTCCTCTATGACGGGCGAAGCCGACTCTATGATTTCACCAATCTCCTCCTGCAAATAGCGAGGGCAATATAAATAAGACATTAGTTGAGCGACCTTGGACATTGTGGACGTGGGGATGGGGTTGAGTTGGCCGAAATTTACGTCAGTATGTCCGAGGAAAATGATTAATAAGTCGCATGATGGGCTGGTGTGGGTTAGCTTGTGCATTTTATGTGCTCGCGCAAAAGTCTACTGGAGTGGGAAGGTTATGTATATTTATAGAGTCGGTTGAACCATAATGATGCGATTATATGAGGTTAGCCGGGGATGCGGCGGCATTACTGTTTTGTTTGGCGGAGAGTCGAAAAGGAGGGGCTTGGACTAGAGGATTTGATGGGTTCCTACACGTAGATATTCCTTAGGTAGACGCACTTCGTTCATCTTTTTTCCAAATTCTAGATTGGCCTATAAAGTTTTTAAGCAAAAGCTATATCTTAATTATAATTCCTTGAGACGCGGCGGTTAGCTGCTATATCTAGATCTACTATGTAACGCCGCGGTCGACAACTATATTAAAAAACTTTGAATAAGAGCGTCATTTGCATTTAATTTTAAGGATAGCCCATAAATAATCCCAATTACGTCAATACTTATAATATTAAAAATTGGTTTCATATAGCTCGTGTAATTCGCGGTAAATGGTGCTATGCGGTTATACAATAAATTAATTGTTATCAATCAATCATGTTTTTGAAAGAGTCTGCGCTATCATATTTCAAATAAGACAGATAAATAATTACGATCAAAGTCATAATACTTTATTATATGAAACGTTCAACTGCTTTTTCATTAGCAACTATTCATCTATTTATTTATGTTTATATTTAGATAATCGACACAATACATAATATTAATAACCACGTTTTTGTACTTTTATGTTTCGTTCGTGTCGTTAACTTCGATCTTTTAACCTCTTGCGTGAATTCAATTTACATTAAATCAGTTTACGTGCTTGATTACACACATTTAAATCGCAAATGTATAAGTTTGAAAAATTTTTCTAATTGCTGCTTTAAAAAATCGTTGGCTGGTTCAAACGTTGCACTTTCGAAACAATTGAATAATAAAAGAATGACTCACTATCACGTGCTTAAAAGATTATTATTCGTGTCATATTATATTAAAAAATAATGCGAATATTAATACATTGAATTACCTTTAAAATCTATCATTCATACCGAAATTCTCGTAAAAATATGATTTAATTTTAATTTATTGAATCAATAAAAAAGTAATATTTGATGAAAGAAAAAAATTATATTGCAATTTATTATTAAATAATCAATCATACCGGTTAAATATGTTTAAAAATTTCTTTAGTAATAGGTCAATTTAAATTGCCTATAAAATTCACGTAAGGTCAACGTCAAATAATCTTAAGGATTTGTATGAAAACGTATAAAAATGCGTTTATATATAAGGGAAACTAATGAGATAATGAAATGTTAGTATTCTGTAACTACGTTCACCCTAACATAATTTCAACATGATTCTTCCTTCATTCGATGACTATTTATCCGATATATATTATACTTACATTATCACGTTGAAATCAACATTTACATTCACCTATTTACATAATTTTAATAAATAATCTACGATAATGTACATTAGCGTGTTTAATTGATTATTCGGATTATTAATTTTTCAACGTGTACGATTAATAAATGATTGCAGCAGTCATTTGAAAATATCGTATATACAATAAGGTATTAACTTGATTACAATACGTATAACTAAAAATAAAATATTTTTTAATAATTTAATAATATTTATATGATATACATGCTATACAAATTATAATTTTCAATTATTTAAAACAAATTTCTACAACGCTTGCCTTATTATACAACTTTCTTCTAATGTCATCAAATGATCCATTAACAATACTTATTCATTCAAAATGTAGAAAGGGCAATAATATAAAATTTTCTAAATCCAATGATCAAATACTATATATACATGTACATATATATTTCAATCATTTGCATAATAATGAAAAGTTATATAACTTGATAGTTTATTTGAATTAGGTCTTATTCACCAACTCATCCCATATTCATATAAAATAATAATACTTTAAATTTATATATATATATATATATATATATATATATATATCAGTTGTATTATATCAATTGTATTAAAATAAATAGAAACTTTTTCTACATCACATCGTTTATACAATAAAATTTATGCACACGATTGTGAAATAATATTTTAAAATTTCAAGGGGTAATGAATTTTAAAAATAATATAATACTTCCTTCCAACTAATTACGACAACTCTATTACAATAAATTTGTATTAATTCTAAATTCGAAAACCAAAGCGATGCATACGATAACGCAATATAATTGCACTTATTGATATCGTGACATTTTAGGTGACTATATCACCACTAATAATACAGTAATAAACCATAAATCAAACGGCCTGTTAAAACTAAGACAATATATCACATTCAAAATTGACAAAAATAAAAGTACAAGTAAGGTAAAGATCGCTGTACTTCATGGTTGATATATTGATCGTTCGAGTGTATCGAATGTGTATCGAATGCAATGGTGATGGATTCGTAATTGAATAAATAGTACCGCTCCGAGTTGGTAATAGTATTTAATAATGAAGAATGCTTATCAGGCTCATTATAATCAAAATATCCTGCATAAATAAGTGTATTGATAATTAATACCGCAATGTCTACTGAATATGTTTCGAAAACAATCGACCCATCCGTATGAGCTTGTCGTAAGTCACAACTAGAAATTTTTCCAACAAAATCATAGTAAATATGATATATAAACGTTTTGCGGTACATTAGTAATTCGGAGTGAATTCTCATATGACTAGAATGATGTATTGTATTCCTCCTCCCCTTCCAACTGCGCATTTAGAATATACGAAATATGGAAATATCAATCAATAGAATCATTCCCAAATTCAAGTATAAAATAATTATACGCGGTAGGTCGAGGACTGATTAATCGAAGAGCTGCTCCTGATGAATTATTAAAGCTTGGGGGAGTTTAAATACTATCGAGTTAATGGTATCCGTAGAGTAACAGCATGAGCAAACGGTTAGAAGCACTAGATATTGTTGCTATCACGACACGTACGGAAAGGTAAACACATTTGCTTAAGACGAGATCAGCCGCCCACCTCAGGGTAATCGAGATTAACCTCGATTTCTCTCTGTAGGCGAATCATCGTATGATGGACGTTGATGAAGACATCATTTTTCAAAGGTAAGCCTAGTTCTAAATCTTTGACAAGGGTTTGTTGGGTATACGCGATGGTAGCTGGTAACGTGTTATTATTGAAATTGGCAAGGTAGTTGATTGGCTTGATGTGATAATACATTAAGAAATATCTTTTTGATAGAGAAGGTTATTATTAGCCGTTATTAGCAATGAGGAATTAATTATTCATGAAGATTCTTCAAGTACATCTTGAGTGAGCCTGAATAAAAGATGACGATTTCGTCTCTCATTTATGAATAATTTTATGAATAAAGTAAAAAAAACTGTTTTAGTTTGATTAATGATAGTACTTTTTCATGACGATATATTTCCTTTTTTTTCTTTTTTCTTTTTTTTACTATTCAGGTTCTTCAATAAATCACTCATATTGATGCTGTATTTAATAAAAAAAAAGTTTTTTCTAATCTGCTAACCTCCTAGTATGATTTATCGGTGTAGCGACGTAAGATATTCATGTGGGGGGGGGGGGAGTTTCTTATGAAAGATCACGACTGGCAGTGTTTACTAAATTATTTTTATATTTATTTGAATAATAGATTTTTAAAAAAAAATCGTATCCTAAATATGGAAATGTGTGCGTGTGTATGAAGAAGAGACTGAAATTTGACTTTATAAAAGGTATTGATAAGTATTTTCTCGTGAGTCTCAATACCATTACTTAGTGTGTAAAAAATTAGAGAAAATTGAAAACCGATTACGTATATTTCGTGATTAAAACATTAATTAATAGAACATTAATCAACTCTTATGAGTAATACAACAAATGTTAACGAGATCGGACAATCTTACTTTCCCATAATTTTTTTTCTAAATAATTAACAGATTAATGTTCTATCAATGCTACATCCAATTAACAAAAGTTTACGCATTGAGAAATAAAATCAACACAATGATTTTATTCGAATAACTGATTTTCCATAACAGTCGAAGCTCAATTAAATACATCGATATATATAATCTATTATTATACAAATCACGATATTTCAATTAAAAATATTTTTTTATAATTAAACTTTAACTCGTAAATAATAAATATGAAAATATGCAGTTTGCATCGAACATCTAATTATTCGTTCGAATCAAACCGCACTATCTATTATTTACATTTAAAAGTCGAATTCAATCAACTGTCGGGCTTCACGCCCACAATGATTCATGTTCATTAATCGGAATCTCGATACAATATTTGAAAATGAAAGTTTTCAAGCAGGTTTCTGTGCACTCTATAAATTTATTATACACGGCGCAGAGTCGAATCCCGCCTAAGTAGAGACAAACGCAATTGCCCAGTATCACTTTCTCTCTTAGTGTCGCATAGTATCGATCAGCAGAAATTGGCGGGCAGCGTTTAATTTGTTCGAGATACGCCCATGACAAGTCAAAGGCTTTCAGGACGCATGCGCACAAGTCCATTGGAAGGTAATTTTTCGTGACGCGTTCAAAGCTACATGGAGCTCTGACCTTAATCTCGTGGGGTGCGTTTTTTTCTCCGTCGGACGACGTAACGGAAGTAACGAGACGATCGGATGGAAAGTTTAATCAGTCTAGCGCAATCGGGATTTAATGCCGATTTTATAAAGGCAAGCGACGGTGATTATCATCGACACCGATGCGTGAATTTATATTGTTAATCACTGGAGCGTGCGCTTTTATAATTCGGGAATATACAATTTGTAAAAGGAGCCGAAATCAGCTAGCTGTTATCGATCGAGGAAACAGATTTTTCTATCCAGCTAATATCCATTC